ATAAGGAGTATCGATAAAGGTATCGATATCAATAAATATTAACGATCCCCATCCCTAGCGATTAATCTAAAAAATAATTGACAGGTTAATTGATTTGCAAAATAATCGTTAGTTGCAGCCCTAGCTCACTTTGATCTGATCCAGTGGGTTAGCTGGTTATGTTTGTTCTGGTAGGATATCATTTTTTATAAAACCAGTTTACATAAAGATCTTATTTAATGATTGCCATAGAGACTTGTTGAATCCAGTATGCAAAGTTTTTTTTGTCTGTATTTGCATGTCTTTCCCTAAAGCTTAGTGTGTGATGACATTTTTAACTGCTTGACGATCTTCCTTGCTATGCTTGATTGATTTTAAACCGGATCCCTGTCCTTTCTTGTTCATCGCTGTTGTAAATCTTTTCATTGATTTTGGACTTGCATTAAGCTGTGCTAGCCATTGTCCCAAACATGTGAACAGTAGTACACATCTGCTGTACTTGAATTAAATGTTTCTTGCCTTTGTCATTCCTAAGAGTAGCCAAGAGAAAGGAGGATTCTTTGCCATGTCTTATTTATACACCAGCGGATAGGGCTGGGTATTTTCTCCAAAGTCCTGAATCTATTCGATTTTGATTCATACAGTTTTAAATCGATTAATTTGGATTCGATCTGTTTTTACAATAATGAAGGTGGTTCAACTGTGTTTCTAAATACTCATGTATTTTGTTTTTTTCCTGTCACACTAAACACAAAATGCAAACTTGTAAATCAGACAGTTTAAACATGAGATGTGAACAAAACTTTTTCAAAAGTGCAAACTTGTTTGTGAAAAGTGAAGCCTCACTCGACCAAGCACACATGACACAGCAGACATTCATGAGCTGCATTATCTTCACTGCACAAACCATGTTTGCAGCTTTGTCTGTAACAACTACAGGGTGTTTGCTGGTCAGCCCCCATTTGTCAATGTCTTCAGTCAACCTATTGTCTATATTTTCAGCTGTCTGGCTTGAAGTCATCTTGAGTGCATCTTTCCTGCTTATTTGAATGTGAAAATGAATAGATCTCATTCCCTAGACATCGATTTTGCAAAAATGTAAAGGAATCGATTTTACCCAGCCCTACCAGCGGAGCAGGGCCTTATAGAAATATTGACCAACTTAAACAGTTAGCAAATGTGAAAACTACTTGAGTTCCATACATTTTGCAGGAGTTGTTTATGGCACAGACATTCAAGGCATCAGGGATTGGTTTCTTTAAGCTGTCCTGATTTTGTTGGTGTAACTATAGAATAAATGAAATGAAAATACTTATTTTGTAAATTTCTTTGAATTCACCCATTTGCCAATTTCTTCAAAGCAGACTACACTGCTTTGAAGAAATTGGCAAATGGGTGTACATTATTTTTTTACTATGCTGACCTGACTTTGAATTTCCTCACTGAGGGATAACAAAATATGTTTTATTTCTGTAATTTTTAACAGCAAAAGTAAGAATGTTTTGAAAGAATCACCATCAGGGTTTTTACACAAAAAAAAAACATGTTGATAAGAATCATGCAGTTCTCACTTCGCTCCTTCACCTTTGCGGTGATGAATGTAACTCTGGCCGCAGCGCAGGTGTAAACAGGACTTACTGGCATAATGTAAGCGTTCAGTCATTGCTTTTTTTTATGGGTTAAAATTGAGAGTATTTATGCATCATTTGAGTCAGTCGTCATTTTCTGTGATGGTGTAAAAACCAAACAAGGAGTAAATTTTGGTAATACGTAATAGTCATAACTTGATATTTATATAGAATCAGTTTCAGACTTTTTTTTAAGAAGAAGAGTCTGTGTGAAGATGCAAAGCTGTTACTCAAGTGATGACGAATCGAATCTGTCAAGTTGGCGTTGTGTCCCCCACCAGTACTACATGTTTTCTTTCTGACTTTGAAGCCACCACCCTTCCCATCAGCACCATATCCACCATGCACGCGCCATGCAAACCATCCGTGTAGGACTGTGCTACATCCCTGAGTGTGGGTGCACCAAATGTTGCCCACGCCTTCACATGTTATTGTGACTCATCATCTTTCTCTATGACTGTACACAGGTCTGAAAGCAGCTGTAGCACCAGGTCGATGCGAGGGCGGGTCATACGGGGGCGTTTCTCAGAATAGAATATCTTTTCTAGTAAAAAAGAAAAAAAATCTGCTTTTTCAATCGCTGATTGATACAGAACCTGTGCATGAAAGCCTTCATGTGTAGTTGAAGATAAAAGGAGTCTTGTTTTTACTTTTTCTTTAATCAGATTATCCTGCATGACCTTATCCTGACTCCTCACTTGTGCAACTACTTCCTTTCACGTTCTTGTTTCTTTCTTACTTCCTCCTGCTTTACCCGAACTCTACCCAATATACACCTCTGACTCAGTTCAGCCAAATGTTACAACATGACAGACAGCACAGCCCCATTTAAGTTTCTTGAAACTCTCTGAGTAAAGGGGTCATTTCAGAACAATTCGATCTAATTCAAGTCATTTACATGAGTAACTGGTGGGTTTCATTTGGCTTTTAGGAGGCAGAATAACACGAGGTGGTGCGTAACTTAGTAGAATTAGTATACAAGATTTAAAAATACACATAAAAATGTCATCCATTTGTTTTACTATGACATCCCTAGACAGCTGTAGATGGGGAAAAAAAATAAATAAAAAATCCCTCGATATGATTGTACTCCTTTGCTGATGGATGGTACTACCTAATGCAGCAGCTAAAATGGTAACTCTGGGGGAGCTGCAGAGTTCCACAACTCAAGTTTTAGAGAATCTTTCATCAGGACAAATGTTGTGCATTCCACATATATTGCATGGAGAGAAAGATATAAGAAGTCTCTTAGGGGGGAAACGGCAAACATGGGGAAGGCTGTGTTCTAGTAGGATGACACCAAAACGTTTGACTTGCACCTAAAGCATGTTGAGGGTGTCAAGGAAAACTAAGGGTGTACATCACTATTCCCACGATAAAGCATAGCCACGGAAGCATCTAATCTGATATAGCTAAAGCTTTTGTACCAACAATAAATCATGAAATTGTCTCAGTGATGGAGCGGGGCACCGCAGGTTCAGAAATGTTAACCCTTGATACACACACCTAAAAACACTTAAATTAAAATAAAATCAACATATCTACATGTACCTACCTTGCAGTCGTCCAATAGACAGGTCTTAGTTATTTATGCAAATAAGGAGATATAAGGGGATTAAAAACGCTGTTTCTGTGGCCGTTGTGCTGATTGAAATTCAGGTGAACAAACTAATGATGACAGCTGACAGCATAATGGCCTGTTCCACAGCAATGAGAACCTTTAACACCAGACAACATGTTATTGTTGT